GAAAACTCTTGAGCTTCTTCGCCAGCGTGGTTTGGCACATGCCTCAGGCAACCGCAAGCTAACGTCCGAGCTCGCAAAGCAGTGCAGAGATGCGATCAAGGAAGACCTCAAAGAGAGAAGAGCAGAAGTACTGGTAGATGCAGCAGAAGCCGGGAAAAGCATTCATAACGCCCGCCTGTCCTTTGCCAACTACAAGACCAAGATGACTGCCCTCCGACGTCCTGATGGATCCATCACATCCTCCAGAACGGCAATGGAGAAGATTATCCATGACTTCTACTCAAATCTCTTCGACAGCCATGTCCACTTGCCGACATACCAAATTCCACAGGATGGATATGTCGTTCCCAACGGTTCTCCCTTCCGAAATCCGACACGCCATTTCGTCGGTAAAGAAGCAAACAGCACCCGGCCCAGACAAGGTCAGACCTGAACACCTGAAGAACCTGCCGTCAGTACTCATCAATACACTGGCTCGGCTCTTCACTCGCTACCTGTCTGAATGCAAGGTTCCGTCCCAATGGAAAACCAGCAGGACCGTACTACTGTTCAAGAAGGGAGACATCCATGACATTGGCAACTATCGCCCGATCTGCCTATTGTCTGTCATCTACAAGTTGTTCACTCGAGTCATCCTAAATAGGATTGGCAGAACACTAGATGAAGGACAACCATGCGAGCAAGCCGGGTTCCGCAAAGGATTCAGCACCATCGACCATATCCACACGATAACCAAGCTCATTGAGGTTTCTCGGGAGTTCAAGATGCCGCTCTGTTTAACGTTCTTTGATTTAAAGAAGGCCTTTGATTCTGTTGAGACGGAAGCGGTCATTGAAGCCCTAGACAATCAGGGCATTCAAGCCCAATACATCAGGATCCTCCGTGAGCTGTATTGCGGATTCACTACCAGGATCTCACCATTCTACAAAGAAGTGATCGTTGATGTCAAGAGAGGGGTGCGGCAGGGTGATACCATTTCACCGAAACTCTTCAGTGCCACCCTCGAGAACATCATGCGACGACTGGAATGGGAATGAAGATAGATGGTCGGCAACTACACCACCTCTGATTTGTCGATGACATTGTTTTAATAACACCAAACATCAGCCAAGCGGCACAAATGCTGGCCGACTTTGACCATGAGTGTGGAAAGGTAGGACTACAGCTGAATCTTATGAAGACAATGTTTATGAGAAACAGCCTCGTTCCTGACGCCCCATTCGCTCTCAACGGAACGACCATCTCTGAATGCAACAGCTATGCGTACCTAGGTCGAGAGGTCAACATGACAAATGACCTGGCACCCAAGCTGTGCAGGAGGAAGAGAGCGGCTTGGAACGCCTTCAAGAACGTCGAAGAAATAGCTAAGAGGACGAAGAACCTCCGGCTCCGGGCACATCTCTTTGATTCCACTGTTCTTCCTGCATTAACATATGCCTCAGAGACCTGGGCCCTATGCAAACAGGATGAGAACGCTATTCAGGTCTCCCAAAGAAGAATAGAAAGAGCTATGCTTGGAATATCACGTTTCACTCAAATGAGAGAAAGAATCCGGAGTTCTGACATCCGTCGACGATCAAGGATCAGGGATGCTGTCTCATTTGCCAAGGTGTCGAAAATCAGATGGGCTGGTCACGTAATGAGATTTAAAGACGACCACTGGACTAGAGCTGTTACCGACTGGATTCCACGGGATGTCAAAAGACCGTGTGGCCGCCCACCTACCAGATGGTCAGACTTCTTCGTCAAGATCATGAACGATTGGTTTGAGGCCCTTCATGTTCCCGGAGTGAACAGATGCCATTGGGCTACACTAGCACACGACAGGGACAAATGGCGACATTACTGGTGCCCGCTCGAGCAAATCGACGACTAACGGGAAGTTAAGTGATTAAGTGATTATTTTTTAATGAATCACTATGAGATAGTTATAGACTTACAAACTTTCGTGATTACGTTTCAGTCATACAATGATCGAGTACCCATCCCCCCACCAATGCCCATTCTCCACCACCAATATTCCCAGTATCTCTCCCACCCACCCTCTGTGGCAGGTACATTCCCTTTTACTCTCTCTCTCCTTTTGGGTGCAATGGTTTGCAATACAGGTAGTAAGTAGCATTCATGTTTTGTCTATAGTCTACATTCAGCACGCATCTCCCATTCTGAGCGAGCCCTCCAAGCATCATTCACTTAGTGGCCCCTTCTCTATCCCAACTGCTTCCCCCTCCCCCCCCCCCCCATGTGAGGCCGGCCTCCAAGCCCTGGAGCGGTTCTCCGGCTGTTATCTCTATTATCCTTAAGTGTTAGTCTCCCATTCTGTTACCTTATATTCCACACCCTGTGTGCCCCTCCCCCAATCCCAAAGAAACAGTTTGTACAGAGAAAGAGAATGAGTAAAGGATAATTGTGGGAATCTTGATTTATTAATTACTCAGTACAATAAGCACCTGAGTAATCAATAAATTCCCTTCTGGTTGAGGAACACTCCCTGCTATTTGCAAACCTAAAAGAAGATTTCCGAGTAAAGTTTCAACCTGTCCATATCTTTGGCTTTTGGGGAAAGGACAAGGTAAAAATGTCCCTACCCAGAAGAGCTGCTGATTCATAATTTTGAATTCAACTCTTCATTTATTCACTTCTTTTGGGCCAGTTTCACCGCTGTCAGATCTTTCTTCCTTTTTTTTCCCCTTTTGCTTTCCCCCCCCCCCCCCTAGTTTTGGGGCCAAACCCAGCAGGCTCAGGAGTAAGTCCTGGCTCTGTGCTCAGGGATCACTATTTTTTTAAAATTTTTATTAGTGAACACCAATTTTTGTGCTTGGGTTTCAGCCATATAATTATAGAGTATCCATTTCTCCACCAGTGCCCATTCTCCACCATCAATGATCCCAGTATCCCTCCCACCTCCCATAGCCCCCATCCCACCCCGCCCGCCTCTGTGGCAGGGCATTCCCTTTTGTTCTCTCCTTTTGGGTGCTGTGGTTTGCAAAAGAGGTATTGAGTGTCAATCATGTTCTGTCTGTAGTCTACTTTCAGCATGCATCTTCCATCCTGGGAGGATCCTCCCTCAGGGATCACTTTTGACTGAACCATCAAGACAAGTGCCTTACCCGCTATGTTATCTCTCCAGTCTCCTTTCTTCCATTTCTACACAATTTGGGGTAGCAGGTAAACACTAAATGCTTCCTGCTAAATATGACAGCATGGGAATTTGGAACAAAAGAGGATGGTGTGTTAAGAGAAATAACATTTTAATCCCAGTTTATAGAGGATCTAGGATAAGCAGGGCCTGTTTTCCATGAGATTTTTTCCACCTCCCCTTTTTCTTGCACATGTAAGTAAAATAATCAGAACTTTAGAGATATTAAGAGGGTTTCCATTAGGTCACATTTCAAGGTATCCTCTAGTATGGATTGAATCCTAGTGAGTATTTAAGAAAACAAGTATAGAAGCTAGTCTTATCCACCTGTAAATAGTCATGTATTTGTTGCTAACTGCTCATTTATGTTTATTTACTTCTGTCTAGAACATTTTTCCTCTCCTTTTCTGGAATACAGCCATGTTCATTCTTTTTCACATTGTCTGGAACTCCTTTTCTCTTTGAAGATGGACTTGAGGAGCTGCAAACAGAGATTACAGGGTCCTCAAAAACAGTTATCATCTGATCCTTTACAGGAAAAACAGATGCTGACTCCTCGCTTCATACAGGGCTTAAACAAAATGAGGCAAATGGACAGATTTATATTAAGGTCTAAAAAATATGTTATAAATATGTAGGAGAGATCTGACTTAGTAGTAATAATGTGCAAGAAGAAAATAGTTCTTCTCACTTTGGCTAATTGACACCTCTCCGACATCAGCATAATGTCATTCTTCTGGAAAGCTTTCGTCGATTCTCTAGCAGATTTTCACCAATGAATATGGTATTAGCTGTGGGTTTATAGTACATGACATCTGTAGTACATTTCATATGTGGAATGTGTTCCTTTCAAGTCCTATTTGTTTAAGTGCCAATAATTGAAGCCAAGGCCTCACCCAAGCAAGGTAAGTGCCCCACCACAAGCTGTATATCTCTGGCCTTCTATGTCTAGATTTGTTTTGTTTGGGGGCCACACCAGGTGGTGCTCAGGAGCTACTTCCAGCTCGGTGCTCAGTTATCACTGAGCACTCATGGCAGTGGTGGGGGAAATATGATGTCCAGCTTCAAACCAGAGATGTGGCCGCAGCCACATGCTAGACAAGAGCCTTAACATTTTTACTAGCTCTTGGCCCTTCTATCCCTTTATTTAGCTTTTATCATAAATGGATTCTGAATCTTGTCAAATACTTTATTGCCATATAAATACTATCTTATTTCTAATTAAGGGTAAAGCAGAAGATCGCAGTACTGAGATACAGACACAGGAAACCTTATATGGCAACTTAGGAAAGTAAGAACAGATCACATTTCCCATGAACCTTGCTGTAGGCAAATATTTCTCAACGTGGGTGATAGTAGCCCTGGGAGTGAAGATGTAGGGGTGCAGTTAGAACATTTGGGGTGGCACTGATCTTGGGTGCAGTTGGGAGCATTCTTTTTTTTGTTTGCTTATTTCTAAATAAGTAAATACATTTATGAATAAATATTGTCATATAAATACTAATACAAATAGTATCTTAATATTATGTGATTTTTATTTTATTATAGTATATTACATTGATTTGTGTATGCTGTACCATTTTTGCATCGCTCAAATTAATGCTACTTGTCATGATGTATGATTATTCTACTGTATCGTTGAATTTGATTTTCTAGTGAGACTCTGTATGTTCCTTTGGTTCATTAATGATAATGGCTTGGGGCATGTGTGTGTGTGATCCTTATCTGTATTTGAGATCAGGAATCCTTATCTGAATTTGGCCTCAGCATTGCTGACTTCATTACTTCTTCAATTTTTTAAGAGTGAGGCGTACAGGCTTAAGTTCATTGGGTTTTGTTCTTTATAGAGGCCTGTATTGCTGTGCAGCCCATTAAACTGCTCTCTGCCTGGGGGGCCAGGTGTGCAGTGGCTGCAGATGGCACACGGCCTCCTCAGGGGTGGACACAGCCTGTGGCTTGGACAGGCTGTAATAAGGGAGCTTAGAGACAGTCCCTCGCCATGGATGTCTCTATTGCTCTTGTGCTGGCCTCAACCTCAGATTTCAAACAGGTATGTGGCAGGTGGGGGGTGGAGGGTGGGGGGACACCTTGGAAAGTCCCAGATCACTGTGGACCAGGTTCACATTGGCCAAGTCATCATGTCCATCTGTCCCAATTCCAAAACACTGAGCCTGTGATTGTGGCTCTGTGCTGGACCAAGTTCAAGTCTCCTGGATGCTATACATCTCCAAGAAGTGGAGCTTTCGCCAAGTTGAATGTGGATGAGTTTGAAGACTGTGGCTGAGAAGTAGCTCATTCCAGATGACCGTGGGGTCAAGTATATCCCAATAGTGTGAGCCTCTGCACAAATGGTGGGCACTGCATTCCAGAGAGCTCTGGAGATGTCTCCCACTCCCACCCCCAGTCTCTGTTCCCTACCCCAACCCCCACCACCCCATCCCACTCACCACAATAAATCCTGCCTCTTAAACAACAGCAAAATTCCTACTACCTTTGCTCTCAGTACTGCTTTTGCTTCATCTCATAGTTCTGATAACTTCTGATAACTTGTTCATAGTTCTGATAACTGGTTTCCATTTTGGGATCTCCAGATATTCTTTAACTGACTTCCTCACTGAGTCTGTGTTTGCTGAGAAATATATTCTTCAGCCACCAAGTATTTGAAGCTTTCTTGGTTTTGTGTGTGGTTGGTTTCTAATTTTATATAAAAGAAAAATATTAGGTATTAAAAATTTAGGTATGATGTTCATAAATCACCTTTTCTTTGTGTCCTAGCATATTATCTATCCTTGAAAGTGTTTTATGTACATTTGAAAAAAAGTGTAAATGCAGCTGTTTTGCAGTGAATTGTTCTGTAAGTGCTATCAAGGCCATCTGTCCTAGTTAATCATTTAAGGTTATTGTTGGCTTCTTCTGTTTAGTTGATTTATCCATAGTGGTTAGTCGGTTGTTCAGAGCCTCTACTATTATGTGGCTGTCAATGTTAGTCTCTAGTTCTATTCATAATTACTCAGTATATCATGGCACTCCTTCTCTTGCTGCACACATGATATTACAGGTAATATCCTCTTCTACTAAGCACTTAATCATTATATAATGCCCATCTTTACTACTTGTACCTTTTTAAAATGGAAATTCTATCTGACGTGTGCATCTGCCTTTTTAAATTGGTCATTTGCTTATATGTTTTCTCCCCCCAGCTTTTAACATTGAGTCTGTTTCCTGTAAGCAGTACAAAAACATTTCTATTGCTTAAAAATTAATTTTATGACACAAAGGAATCTTGGACCCGAGCAACATGCGGCAGAGATGACCCGGAACCTTTGCAATAGACTCCTCCGCTGGGCCCCTCCAGAGGGGGTCAGGTGTTGTCCCTCCGCCTGCCCTTTCAGTGCTCCAGCGGTTGCCATTTTCTAGAAGCCAACAAGAAGCACCAGGTACGAGTTGCGGTGATAGTAAATCCCAAGTCTCACAGGAGTGAGCTCTCCTTTCCCCTGTCCCAATGGGACGCCGAGATGATACCACACCCATCCACCAACTACTTAAGCTCCCACATGGCCACAATCCAGACACACAAAGGAATCTCAGACCCGAGCAACTTGTGGCAACGATTTCTTCAGCCCCTACTTATTAAAATCTTACAATTCTTAGAGTGACATTATATTCATAATAATCAATGCAAAACACATTGTCTAGCAATTGCATATTCGGCAGGTATAAGGGGTGGTAGGACTGATCTCGAAATATCAAAGGTAACTAAAGTAGAGAAAGAATATTTTGCAAATTGTCTGCCACACAAGCAGAGGGAGGTGTGGAATGTGGGGGGCGACACTGGGGATTTTGGTGGTGGAAAATGTGTACTGGTGAAGGTATTTGATGACTGTATGATCGAAGTTCAAACATGAAATTTTTGTTACTGTACCTCATGGTGAATTAATAAAAATAATGAAAAAATTAATAAAAATAAAATGTTATCACACTTTGTGGGGCTGGAGCGAGGGTATTTGCCTTGCACACAGCCGACCCAGGTTCGATTCCCAGCACCCCATATGGTCCCCCCAGCACCGTCAGGAGTAATTCCTGAGTGCAGAGCCCAGATTAACCCATGTGCATGGCTGGGTGTGACCCAAAAAGGGAAAAAAATTGATTTTGCTTGGGGCTGCCTGGCAAGCTACCCGTGACATATTCAATATGCCAAACACAGTAACAATAAGTCTCTCAATGGAAATGTTACTTGGGCCCGCTTAAGCAAATCAATGAACAATGGGAGGACAGTGCTACAGTGCTTGGGGCTGGAGCGATAGTACAGTGCATAGGGCATTTACCTTGTACATGTCCACCCCAGGTTTGATCCCTGACACTTCATATGGTCCCCCAAGCCCCATCAGGAAGAAGCCCTGAGCACTACCAGGTGTGGCCCAAAACAAAAAAATCAAAGTTTAATTTTTTTTTATCCACACTATGAGTTTTATATAGGTGAATCCATACCACTAATATTTAGGGTAGTTACTGATAGTTGCTCATTGCTATTTTGTTATTTTTAAGCATTTGTTTTTTTGATATTTTCTTTTGTTGTATCTTTTATACCTACTTTAGCATCATCATTTGGTATTTGATTTCCTTTGTTAGTTTTATTTGGGGGTGGGGCAGGGAGTGGGCTACATCTGACTATGCTCAGGGCTTACTTTTTTTTTTTAATTGAATCACCATGAGATAGTTACAAAGCTTTCATGTTTGAGTTTCAGTCATATAATGATCAAACACCCATCCCTCCACCAGTGCACATTCTCCACCACCAATGTCCCCAGTATACCCCTCCTTTCCAACCCTGCCCCTGCTTCCATGGCAGACAATTTCCCCCATACTCTCTCTCTACTTTTGGGCATTATGCTTTGCAATACAGATACTGAGAGGTTTTTACGTTTGGTCCTTATTCTACTTTTATCACACATCTCCAATCCTGACAGATTCCTCCAACCATCATTGACTTTGTGATCCCTTCTCTAATCCAGCTGCCTTTTCCCCCAGCTCATGAGGCAGGCTTCCAACTCTGAGATAGTATTCCTGGCCCTTGTGTCTACTGTCCTTGGGTGTCAGTCTCATATTATGTTATTTTCTATTCCACAAATGAGTGCAGTCTTATGTATCTGTTCCTCTCTTTCTGATTCATTTCATGATACTTAGCATGATACTCTCCATGTCCATCCACTTATAAGCATCATGAACAGGACTGGTGGTGGTACCGTCCAGAACTCTGAGGTGGGACTTGGGCAGAGCTGGGTTTTTTTTTTTTTTTTTAGCAGTTTACTCTTGTCCTTGTGCACAGACATCACTCCTGATGGTGCTTGGAGAGCCATATATGATGCCAGGGATTCCAGCCATGGTTGGCTACATGCCTTGCTCTGGTACTCCAGCCTGCCTTTTCTAGATTTTAATTTCTGAAGAATTTGTTTTAAGGTTATCCTGAGATGTATATGTCAAATCTATCCCTATAACCTATTGAGCAGATTTGATCTTAAATTAATTTTAGAGGGTCCTATTTTTAGTTTTTACTTATTTTAATCATTTTTTTCCATTGAGGTACGTAGAATCACAATACTGTTAATCATACTTTTCATGCAGACAGAATTCCAAAACCACAGCCCTCACCCAAGAGCCCACTTCCTTACACCAGTCCCAGGGGCCCCTCCTGGCCTCCCCCAGTGTATGCTCAGTTTTATAGATAAAATCTTCAGTTCCGATGTCTTTGGTCATTTGTTCCATTATTGTTTCTTTTATATCCCACATAAGGAGGAGATCTCTCTCTCTCTCTCTCTCTCTCTCTCTTTGACCATCTCTCTCTGTCCCTCTCTCTCTTTACTCTGTCTTTTTTCTCGCTTTAAATTGTGAGACTGGTGACACCTACATATATAGAGAAAATATCCTGAAATATTGCTTCACCCCGATTACATTCTTTGAAAGTATGATTAACAGTATTGTGAATCTGCATACCTTAATGAAAAAAATGATTAGAATAAATAAAATCACTGTATCACTGCCATCCTGTTGTTCATCAATTTCCTCAAGGAGGCACCAGTAATGTCTCCTTCGTCCTAGCCCTGAGATTTTAGAAAGTGCCATATTCGAGGCTCTTTCAGGGTCAGGGGAATGAGATGGATCATGTTACTGGGTTTTGGCATATCGAATACGCCACGGGGAGTTTGCCAGACTCTGCCATGCAGGCAGGATACTCTCAGTAGCCTGCTGGGTTCCCCAAGACTAAGAACTAGATAACAGGATGTCACAGGACTGCATTAGCTTCCAGCAGCTGGGTTTTATAATCTCTGGGTCTTGGCTGTTGATGGGATAACACGGCGCCGGCACCGGGGCAGTTGGTGGGTGTAACACCTACATACTGGAAGATGGGGGATCTGGGTGGAGGAGGCCCAGTCCCAATCCGAGCAGGCTTAGCAATTTCAGCCCTGGGTCCTGCATGCCTGGGTTCCTCTGCCAGTTCCTCCATGCATGAGCCTCGTCCGAACAGCGCAGAGTCTCCTGCCCCGGCGCCTAGCTGTCCTCACTGGGGCCCCTTGGAGGGGGGCGGCATGAGTTTCCCTCCCCGCCCCGAGCAGAGCCCCGGCAGCCAAAGACCTCCAGAATCAGCCACAGCCATGCTTAAGACCACTCTCCATATGTTCAGACAAATAAAAACTAGAAATAATTTAAGATCTCGGGTGGCTGAACGCCACTTCTCCCTCTAAGAAGGCACGAATCTCACCATGCCGTTTTCGACATTGGAGAAGAATTGTTCCTCGGAACATGCGATAAAAGAGGTGTCAGAGGCGTCGGTGTCCTAGTCAACACAAACTTGGCCATGAGCATTGATTCATTCGAATGCCTAACAACCCGAATCGGACGTTTACATTTGAATAGATGTGGCTCACTGCCAGCAGTTTCTATCTTCATTGTCTACGCAACAACATCTCATTATGATGAAAGAGAAATCGAGAAGT